TATAAGAAAGCCAAAGTCATATTTATATCTTGTTACTACAAAGTATACATGGTGATAATCAATTAATGAAAATATTTTTAAACCATGAATATTATATAATAAATCAATCACATTTTCAATGAAAATATCAAAATACAATAATTAGTTTTTTTTGCGCTTTTGTTCACATGACTTTCTTGCATAGGGTTTTTTAAAGTCTAAGTCAATTTGAAATTATAGTTACATGATATATATGCTCTGTTGCAAACTTTAGGAGACTTAAAAAGATTGCTCCTAAATAAACACATATCACTGATCAAACAAAGCAAATCTATGGGGATAAACCATAAACGTTCATCCAAAAACCTTTAGTATTGCATGAAGGACAAATCTCGACGAACTCTCGGATGAAGCTTTGCGGGATACCGTAGAGATTAGATCCATTGTCCAATATTGCTTAATCTTCTCACAAGTCTCCTTATACCCTAATTGCTCATCATAGTGACTATACACTATAGTGAAAAACTCAATGATCTGCATATTGATGGGTATAAATATTCGTTAATAAGACTTGTCCAATGATGTTCAATTTAGAAATTCAGTTGTCCTAAAGTTTCCTAAGTAACTTTTTTTTTTTGGTCGAAAAGTTTCCTTAAGTATAACTAAGTAACACAAGCAAGGTGTGATAGAATATTTTTTCCATGCATGTATTTTCTTGCATAAATATTGTTTCGTTAATTCCTTTGATCTCGTTATATATTTTGTCTGCAACATAATGTTTGATGCTTCGTCTATTTCTTTTAATTCTTTCGTAAACCCCTTAAACTATTAAATCGTAAACCAAAAGAACTACTAAACTTAACTAAACACTTAAAATACAAGATTTAAATTATAAAAACCGAATCATATATGGGAATATGCCTATTCCCACACTCAAATTTATAGGAGTCAAAGTGACTTAAATTAGACAAGTCTTTACAGCTTAGTAGAGTTCGGTATGTTCAATTATGCGTTTGGTCTATTTTTATTTCATAAAGATTTGTGTTGCCCTTTTTTTGTTTGGTGAGTTAAGAATAAATAAACTTGCTTACCAATTACAAATCTGAGACAAAACTTGTAGAAAAATGTTTGATTAAAATTAATTAATAATTATACATACATAAAGGAATTTTGGGGCTGATTGGTTGTCGAGGTAAGTAGCATTGTAGCAGGATCAAAGAGATTTGATTCGAGAAAAAATGATTTTTTTATATACAAAATCCTTAACAAATCAATAATTTTGGGTATTATAAAACCAATATACGAGTAAAGATAGAGAAGAAATAGACAGAGTGTGATATAATGTAGTAGGGGGAAATGCATGTGCACACAATCTACAGTAGATATTATTTCATTTAATTATTTGTTTGTTAATTATTAAAATTACTCTCTCCACTATGCTCTGTCTTTTTTTTGGTATTATGCACTCTTCATTAATAATCAAATCACTTATAATCTCAACATAATCCCCTGTTTTGATGATAAACTTTTCTGTCTATAATTTATTTCAATCATCATTGTGATCATTATTATTTTTTTTTTGCTTTTCTTAAACATATTTATTAGTATTTATTAGTTATGGTATTAATAGTTTTTTTATGCTTTTACATATATTTCATAGAAGTTTATTACAGTACATAAATATTGAAGATTCAAATACTATGCATGAACTTAACTAATCTCATCTAAATCATTTTTTTTTATTCTCATCTCATCTAAAGATAAAAAATAATAATTTATGTATTTTGTTAATAACTTCCTTTGATATTGGTCTGATAGATATCTCCACATGACCGCACGTACGCGTGTTTGTAACTTCAACTTGTAAGATCTTTAAACATATCAACTATTTTATTTTCTTTGCACACAAAACTAAAAATTATCATGAGTTGAGATAAAATTTCATGCACCAAACATTCATTTTGTCCAGATCTGCATCGTATCTACTCCAGAGCCTACGTTTAGCTGTGTACATAATTACTATTTGTCTCAAGTTCCATATGTTTATTGACATATAATATAATTTGGAAATCTTGTATACAGAACTATGAATCATAAAGAATATCATATTCTTGTTTACGTCGTATCGTAAAACTTAAGTATTTTGAGGCTATCGCATAGACCTACTATATATATATATATATAGTTTTAGGACCATGCAGAAAGAAGAATAATTAACGTCAGCAAGACTTATACGTGTCTTTAGAGTATTGGTTTATGTAAAAGTGACACATCGTTGCTACATTTCTTATATTCCCCTCTTCAGAGCTAATTAAGGCTACGACATGTTCGAAGAATCACATGTATCACGACATGAGTTCATATAAGCATTTATTGGATTAAAAAATTGTAGTTATACACGAATATTAATATTCTTTTGATCGTTTTCGAACGCAGCTAGCTAGCTTTGACAGGTCAATGAAACAAACCTACATGTTAGAATTTTGAAAAATGGTTTCTTTAATTTTTTAGATATTTCATGTCGAAAATATTGGAATTGATTAGTAACACATGTGTATTTTTTTAACGGTAAACTGTTATGCAATAGTGTAAAACTATTCAAAATAATAGTACATAAAAGCTACTAAAAAAAAAGTAAAAGATAATACTTTTAATATCGTTTTTATGGTTAAACAATGTTAAACAGTGTATTTGATACTATAGTTGGTACGGTATTACCGATCAAAATCATAAAGAACAAAATAAAAAACTTTACGTTAAATCACTTTTAGTTCATATATTGATTACGAGAACAAATATTGAAACATTTTTTACTGCCAGATAAATCATTTTTTTTAAAATATATTTTATCGATAAACAACTGTGCTTAATCATATAAAACGATGATTATCGCTAATATTTATATACAAATTTTTCTGAACGTCTTTTGGACCATTCGATATGTATGAGTAAACAAATGAATGGTCAGAAAGAGCATATCCAATAGAGCAAACTGTTGGTCAAATAAATCGATGAATAAACTAAATAAGTGAATATACTATACGATCTTGTCTCAGTTTTTGTTTTAATTTGTAAGAAAATTAAATAGTCCAGATGTTTAATAAGTGTAATAATTAAAGGTTTAGAATCTCAAGATTTGATCTGAGGTTAAGGATTTCATGGGATAATTTTAAAATCTGAAAAAGAAAAAAAAGAAATAAAGGAGTTATTTGCTTGTAATACAATAATTTTTCTTTTTAAAGTATACTTAAGATAAAATTTCAGATAAATCATCTTCTAAGAAAAATGGTAACTGAACTTGTTCATATGTCTTGCATTTGCATATCTGATTAGGCTGACACAGCAAATAAAAACTTAGAAAACAAAAAAAACAAATTGTAAGCTTGAAACAAAAATAACACAACGACGATGGATGGGGAAAGCTCGCTTCCGCAAACTGTAAGTATATCTTTTTTTTTTTTCCTTTGTAGAAAGGCAATTCTCAAACCTACAAGTAAAATGACCATGTTTCAAAAATATTATCACTAGGTTTTTATCTCAAAAATATCAGTGTATATATTGTTTTCTGAAAATACCACAAAAATAAAACTAACCTTTAAACGTAACTTTCAAAATTAAATTCTAAACCCTAAAAATTAAACTCTAAACTCAAAATGCTAAAGAAAAACCCATAATTTTAGATTATACACTCTAACAAATCATTCTTAAAATTTGTGGTATTTTTGGAAATATTTGTAGTGATATTTTTGGGGAAAAAATCTAGTGGTTATTTTTTTGGAAAATATATATTTTTAATGGTTTCAGAATATTTAGTTTAATATAAGATATTAAACTAAATATAAGATATGAAGTCTTGATTTAATTTAATATAAGATATTTTCTATATAATGATATTCAGAGTCAGTTTGAAAGGTATATTTGAACATAAAGCTTTCGAAATTTAATTATTAAAAATTTGAAATTTAATAATTGATTTATTAATTCATAAGTTGCTATAAATTAATACAAGTATATAATGTTTTTTGAAAACGACTATATAAATTATTCTAGTATAAAGCTAAATTAGTATAATCACATATGTAATTATCTAGTTAATTAATTAAAAGTTGAAATGACTGAATCTAATTTAATCTGGAAGATGTAAAGAGGATTTACTGAATCAACAAATTAAATATGAATCTTACAAAATCCTCTTATTGTACTAGTAAGAATTAAGTAGACATTATATGCATTATACAGTGCAATATTTTAATAAAGACTTTTTGAGAACTTTTGTGAATTTAATGTGATATATATTTGCTGCCAGTTAATTTCCGAACATGAGATCTACTATTATGAAATCATTGTAACATAAAGAAACTACTAATAATACGAAGACAACAAAATCGAAGATAGTTTTATCAAACAAAAAATAAATCGAAATTAGTAGATGTACAATGTAGATTATAAATCATAATGAACAATAATATATGAAATATTGTAATAAAAATCAAACTATTCGTTATGTGAGTCAATTTTTGTCGAGTTTATATAATATAAATTGAGTTTCTCGATTAGAGCATGAATAATAATTATATCAAAAGACAACGAGAGCTGAATAATTAGATGGAATCAAGTCAATCAACATCGAAGTCTTTTGGGTTTGGAACTTGGAAGTCATCCAAAACCGAGAAATAATTAAGAAAAAATTAAGCTAATCATCAACATTATTTTACTACACAATCATTGTAATTAATAAATTAAAAATTGTTAATTCAAAACAAAAATAAGAAAGAAATTTGCAAAATCAAAAATAAAGGCATAAAATCTATGTAATGTAATGTAATAATGTATTTGTGTGCGTGGCGTATCTATTGAAATCTGGACACAATCTGATCCAGCGATGCAGTAGTTATACTAAGGTTTTTTTATTTCTTATTTATAAAAAAAAATCTAAATAAAATTAATTTTCAAAAAGCATTATAAAAATAATGAGATCACCAATTCACCATGAAAGATCTCTCTCTCTCTCTAATTTCTTAGCTCACAGCCAAAAATAAGACAAATCATTTCTCTCTGTAGAGAAGACTTTCTCTCTCTAGTTCTTGATTTTCTTGTGTGTCCTTAAAGAAGATCCTTGGAAACATGGGAAGTAGTTTCTTTGGTAGACCAAACATGGGAGGATCTTCACCGTCTTCATCGTCTCCGACTTCGTCTTCTTCTTCTCCGGCGACAAGAAGAGGGAAAAAGAATGGCTCAGAGAAGCCGAAGCAGCCACAGAGAGGTCTCGGAGTAGCACAATTGGAGAAGATTAGATTACACGGTGAGATCAGTTGCAATAGCTTCAACAGTTACAACCCTACTTTGTATCCTCAGGTAACATATACAATTATATCACTGAGAGATTCCCATCTATAAATTAACATGAAAGTATCCAAGTTTAAGACATATATCATAAGTTGGTTAACATGAACACTATATAATCTGATCGGAGTTCGTAGGTTCTGATTTTGTCTGATCATCGGATCTTTTCATCAGAATCCGACCAAGTTTTTATTCATTGTCCCGTGAACTTTAGATGTTTGACTACTCAATTATACGTAATACTAATCATATAGGTTATATAGCCTATGTTGAACTATCAATATAAACTTGTTTTTCACAGCTTCTTTGGATTCAGTTAAGCATATTTAAATTTGTACGTTGAAATTCTATTTTCAATAGACCTCATATAGGTTATATAGCCTATGTCGTTGTAAAGTTCACGTGGGCAGTTTCTACACATTTCTTAAGATATACACATCATATGATTTAGATTCTATGAAATCCAAATTTCTCTATAAATCTATCTAGTTCCAATTTTTTCAAGAGTATAATTAAGTTCTATATTAATTAAAACTTCGCATGTAAATGGTGAATATACAGGAGGATGTGAGGATTCAAGGAGGATACTCACCCATGCCATCATTACCATCACAATCTTCGGCTCCTTACGGTTTCCATCCAAACATGATGGTATAAATTTCCCTTCAGTGCTGTGTATATAGAGATGATATACTGTTCTTTATAAGCAACATACATACGTATATAGGTCTGTTGTGTATACAAAGAAGAAAGTAATTCGATTTAACTTAATCTAAGTAACTAGTTGTTACTCTTTAAATTTAATATCACATAGGGCAAATCTTCTACAAGATTTGGCCGATCATGTTTTCTGTATTTAACAAACTCGTCTGAAATGAACATGAAACAAAATATAAAAGAATCTTACCGGATAAAGAAAAACATATCAACTATATTAATGGTTTATTATTTTTGCTCTTCGCAGATGGGAGTACATAGAGATCAATACGAAAGAGGAACCTTGAGGTACATACATAATCACTTGTTTTTTGTAGGTGTATATATGTGTTATATATTTTGTTTTTTTCTTGAAAATAACATTATTATTTGTTTGTTCAAACAGTTGGAACCCAAGCTACGGCATCTTGGAGAGCCAACATTCTTTGGAACCAAACATCACCAGACGTTTCTTACATGAGGTTCTTACTTTATACCCTCAAACATATATATTATGCATCATGTAACAATTAGTAATAACGTTACGTAATGAGCGTCACATGATCAAATCTTTAACTAAGGGGTTGGATTGTTACTTAATACGTTCATTGGCATGATCATTAGTTCGAATAATGAACCAATCCATTTTTCTTATCTTGACATAGGATTTGTTCCATTATAATTTTTGGCTTATCATATCGTGTTTGTTCATTGTAAACATGGTCCAATGTAGTTATGTCAATGGTTAAAACATGGTTGACATTAAGGGATTCTAATAATAACAAAAATTGTCTTGATTATTTAGGATCCAAGTTCAACAAGGCGGAGTAAATCTTTGGGATCCGGAAACCAAAACTCGGGATCGAATGAAAATCAAGAGCTAGATTTGGAGTTGAGATTGTCACTTTGATCATTACTTTGTAATAGTTTGGTCTTTTCTAAAATTAAAAAAAAAGAAGTCGTATCATTTCAATTTGTGGTATATCAGATTTCTTTATATCCTAGGAATTGTTTTATATTGCTCAGTAGAAAAAGGTTTAAAGCTTTAAGAATGAAATTGTTTGTACATTTTGGAAAGGATTTAAAAGCTAGATTCATAGAAAATTATGATCGTTCTGCATCATAATCACATTCATGTGTTCTAAATTACTTCCAGACTAAACCATTTTATGGTATATTTCAGTAGAATCAAACATATAATATGTTACATATTAGTTATTACATAACCTCTACTATATATTTGAATAGAAAGCCCAAAAAACCACATATTTTACCAAATTGGCTTATACCATCCTTTTTTTTCCAACAACTATAATAGATCAGTTCAGTTGAACAAAAGGGGGGGCAGAGAGGGGGGGGGGGGACACAAGTAATATAATATGATAATATGGTATGGTACAAACTCTTTGCACCAACTTATCCGGTATAATATTTGCATTACAAGAAAATAAAGATAAAGACTAAAAAACCGACAAGAAATCTCCCTTGTGTTTCTAAATTACCTTCAAGTATGTTGAAAAAGCTTACATCATCCAAATAAATAAATAAAACATAAAATTATTTTGAACATTGAAAATTTCGAAGTTTTATCATATTATTCTAAAGCAAATTAGTGGCATCAATAGAAAGAAAATTGAAAAATGAAAAATAAAATAACAATCAAGCAGTACTAGCTGGAACATGAAGAGGTCCAAAGGTTTTCTTCTTCTTGCAGCAACATGTGTTTCCTTTTTTACAATAGCCTCCAGGAAACCCTAACTCATGGCAAAGTCCATTGCAGTCGGGTGTAACAAAAGATCCTCATACTCCGGGACACATCGGGTCGTATATTTCAGCTCTTGCTTCTGATCCTATTATAACATTCATAGCCCAAAACTTACGTTGTATTAGCATACACATTCGAATTCTTGCTAGAGAAATTCTTAAAAAAAAAATAAAAAAAAAATCAAGACTTTACCTGAAATTAAAAGGATGAGAACAAGAACAATCATCGACACCATGTTCTTGTTTGCCATTATTATATAGCTGTTATAGAAACATTAACCTATTATATAGAGTGAGAGATATGTGTTTGTGTGTGCGAGCTTTTTATTTCGAATCATAGAATTAATTTTGAAATTTCAGTTTCAAAAATCAGCAGTACTTAATTGTGTAGATCATCTTGAAAATTACCAAACGTATGAAAGATTTTTGGAAGGAAACAAATATTCTTTCTTAATGTGTGGGCTAATTCTGTCTTTTAAACTTTCGATATTCACGATTCTAATTTCTTTTGCAATAGTTTGTGTTTGGGAATCTCTTTTGAATCTTCACTTTTGGATTCTCCAAATATTTCTATCCAATGAAGAGTCTCTACATATATAGATTGGTGACTACGATCTTGTCAAGTTTGTATCTTTGGATCTTGAGGTTCTTATTCTATACCCTCAAACATATATATTATGCATCATGTCACAACTAGTAATGATGTAATTAGCGTCACATAGATCAAATCTTTAACTAAAATGTTGAATTGTTAGTTAACACGTTCCTTGTACATGATCATTAGTTTCAAAAATGAACCAATCCATTTTTCTTATCTTTAAATAGAACTTGTTTCACTATAACTTTTCGCGTACGTTTGTTTGTTCATTGTAAACATGTTTCAATGTTATTATCATGGCTAAATGATGGTTGACATTATGCAAAGTGTTATAAGTCTTAGATGGATTTGTATATAAGTGAAGTTTTCTAATGTAAATAATAACAAAAAAAAATTGTCTTGATATAGGATCGAAGTTCAACAAGGCAAAGTAAATCTTTGGGATCGGGAAACCAAAACTCGGGATCAAATGAAAATCAGGAGCTAGATTTGGAGTTGAGATGTCACTCTGATCATTACTTTGTAATAGTTTGGTCTTTTCTATAATTAAAAAAGAAGTCGTATATATCATTTCAATTTGTGGTATTATCTTCTTTTTTCCAACAACTATAGCAGAGTTCAGTTTAACCTATGGGGTGGAATGTTGTTAACACAAGTAATATACTATAGTATGGTACAAACTCTTCGCGCCAACTTATCCGCTATAACATTTGCATTACGAGAAAAAATAAAAGATAAAGATTAAAAAAAGGACAAAAACTCCCTCTTATCGTTATAAATTTCCTCCAAATATGTCGAAAAGAATTATATCATCCAAATAAAGAAAAACATAAAATTATAGTGAACATATATAACGTTGCAAATTTGGAAGTTTTAATTATATTATGCTAAAGTAATTTAAATGACACTAATGGAGAAAAATCAAGGAGTAGCTGGAACATGAACAGGTCCAAAGGTTTTCTTCTTGTTGCAGCAACATATGTTGTCTTTGTTACAATAACCTCCATGATACCCTAACTCGTAGCAAAGTCCACCGCAGCCGGGTTTACCAAAATATCTACATACTCCAACACACACCAGGTCGTATACTTCAGCTCTTGCTTTTGAACCTAAACCATTACAACAATTCGTAGCCCAAAACTTACGTTGTTTAGCATACACATTCGAATTCTTGCTAAAGAAACTCTTTAAAAAAACAAAAAAAAATCAAGAGATTTTACCTGAAATTAAAAGGATCATGAGAACAAGAGCAATCATCGACAACATGTTCTTGTTTGCCATTATTATATTGCTGTTATAGAAACTTTTGTGTTGTGCTTTCTCTTCTCTGTGTGTGTGTAGTACGCATAGTGTTATAGAAATATTAACCTAGTACTCTATATATAGAGTGAGAGATGTGTGTGTGAGTGTGTGGGAGAGAGCTTTTTATTTCGAAACCATAGAATCAATTTTGAAATTTCAGTTTCAAAATCAAAGGTACTTAATTGTGTAGATCATCTTGAAAGTTACCAAACGTACGAAAGATTATGGAAGGAAATAAAGATTATTTTGTCTTTTAAACTTTCGATATTCACAATTTTGTCTTTCTTCTACCATATTTTATGTTTAGGGATCTCTTTCGAATCTTCACTTTTGGATTCTCCAAATATCTCAAGGAAGAGTATCTACATATTTGGGGACTCTCTCTTGTCAAATTTTGTAGCTTTGGATGATGGTTATTAATCTGGCGTAACACAATGGCATAGCCTTATCTTAATCAAATTGTAAGAATGGTTACGTAATAAAGCTTTCGAAAACATTTTAAACTCATGGAAACTTTCTATCGAATTCACTTTTTAAAAACACAAAAAGCCTAAGCAATATTTAAGACCGTACAAATATGGATGTCTAAACACATAGAAATAGCCAAATATGATACCATTCATTATTTAAAAACTCAATCCTTCATCATTCCATATTGCAAAGCAAAACCAAAAAGCTAAACAACCCATGAACCGGTCAGTGTGAAAATAGCCATGGAGGCCTCTAAACCAAAACAAATTGCCGGTATTGAAACTACATGCTGGATTTCCTTGTAATCTAAAATTCTTATTGAGAATGCCATTTTAAGACGACGTTGTTGTTGTCTCTTCAACGGTTAATTGGAGTGTGCATACGCTCAACGATCTTATTCACTGCATCACGGGACATCACGAGTGTATCGTGTAGCAGAATGCTGTAAACATTTAGGCCCTGCAACGCATTACGTAAACAAGGTTCAAGATTCGCTTAATCGTTTAGTCAAGAAACTGCAAGGTTTGATATGTGATTATGTCACTTACTATTGATGGAATTATGTTGACATAGTGTAGATTTTGAGTGGCTAGCTTCAGCTTTTCATCAATAGGGCCACCTTCAACAACAAGAACTTTCTTTGTGTTCTCCATTTGATTGTAATAGTTAACAATGTTCTTGGTCTTATGCGTAGGCAATGCCAAATCATCGAACACAAGGAGCTGCATAAATTTCCCAACCATCAGATACAATTAGACCAGTTTAATAATAAAGCACAGCTATGGAAGAAGAGAAAGAAGCTGACTTTTCCTTCTGCGGCTCGAGCTGTCAAGGCTATTTTCAGTCCAAGCCGTCGAACCTGCTTATTCATCTTTATCGCATGGCTTCTTGGTTTGGGTCCATGCATTACACAACCACCTCGGAACTAATGGTTCAATAGAGTTCAATCAGAGAGCTATATTTGATGGCTAGAAACCTTAAAATCAGAAACTGATTTTACCTGTGGACCACGCAGTGTACCATGTCTAGCTCGTCCTGTACCCTTCTGATTCCATGGCTTTCTACCAGTTCCACTGACCTCACTTAATGTTTTGGTAGAGTGAGTTCCCTAAATATCAACCACACGTGTCACGCTCATTGATTGTTTGCTTGTATGACTAAATCAAGGCATTTTGAGATAACAAGTTAATTACCTGCTGGCGTTTCGCAAGCTGCCATCGCACGACATGGTGAATGATATCTTTCCTTATTGGAACATCAAAGACATCACCTGCTAAAACCATTAAACCCTTGTCCTCGTTCTGAAAATTTGTCACAGGAATGACCAAGTCTTGATATTGTCCTGTGGAAAGTATCAATAGCAAAACCAGTTAACAACATGTCCAGAAGCAAAAAAGAATGCGAGAACATAACAGAGCCCATCACAGGCGAAACACTGGTACTCAACACTGAGTTAACCTTCATGTGACAAGCTAAATTCTCTAACTCAAAGCATAAAGTAACAACATTTCTCTAACCATTTCCTGATGTATACTCTTACTCCTCTCAAAACATAAAGTAACTACATTTGTCTAACACAACTACTCACACTCCATTTCCACCATCATAAATTACCAAGAAAGGTTCAAAACTCTAAGCAAAACCACATAAAGAATACAGGGATTGTAAACAAAACATAGGCGTACCTATGGTTCGGTCTGGTGTAAGCACGGTCGTTTTCGTAAGTAAATCAGAAGGAAATGTATCATCACTTGAGTCAGGAGTCAAAATAGAAGTCGAGAGCTTTCGACTGGATAGTAAAGCCATTCCATACTGCAATTGATAAACAGAGATGAAACCAACATCTAAAAATACTCAGGAAGATGACCAATCAAGTAGTATAACTAAGTAGATGACCTTGAGATCACTAGTAAGAGAAGATAAGCCATTTCCAGATGCATTCACTGACAAGTCTGTTCGAAATAGATAAGAGTGAAACAATCAGAGATCAAGGAAACAAATTCACGAGAGAAGAAGCTTGGAAAATGAGATAATTTACTTGGTGTAGAGCCTCTTCCTAGAGCTGTTAAGGAACCGATAGTGCGAAAAATGCTTCTTGAGATTGAAGCAGCCATGATTCTCCGATTCAACTGAAGAAGAAGAAATGAATAAAAACCCTAGCTGCTCATCTACAACACGAAAATCCAATTCCTTCAGAAGCTAATCAAAGACTGATTCGAGCGAGAATAGAGATTTCAATTGAGTGGAGAAGAAGACTCACCGGTCACAAGATAGACGGCGGCGACGACTACTAATCAAGGACTCTCAAGGACGAGAGGTTCAGTGAAGGTTTTTTACTCAATTGTGTTCTGAATCGGGTCATTATGAGACGGGTCGGGTCTTAGTTGGGTCTTGAAGTTCAAATGTGTTAAATGTATAAAAGCCCATATATTTGGGCCTGTTATATTATTTTGGTTATATCATCACTTGTGTGATTACGATCTCTGTAATCTTCAGATCTGATTATCGAGTTCTGTTGTTGTTGTTCTTTTATCAGCGGCACCTAAACGAGCCAGAGTTTTCTAGGCCCATTCCAACGGGCTTCAACTAATTTGGGCCTGAATTCCATTATTCATCACGGACTTGTATTGAGGTCACACCCAGATTTAAGGGGTAAGAGCATCTCCAATGGTGCTAACCATTGGAAGGTGCTTACATATTTTTTTGCATTAAATTTTTAAAAATAAATTTATAAGCAACTTTATCTTGATGTTGAAAAATTTGGTGTTCCAATGGTATAACTCTTAATGAAGTGCTTAAAAACAAAAAATTAATTTAATTGGGAGAATTTCAAAAATACCCCTTTTCCAATACCACTTTTTAAAAATACCCCTTTTTCTAATTTTATCAAAAAGTCACTATAAAATTTGAAATTTATCAAAAAAAAATATGCGAAAGCTTATATTTATAGACACAAACTATCTTTATATGTGTGTAAATTTATACATATATCTCATAAATACCGTATAAATACATTTTAAAAACCTTTTAAAAATCATTTAAAAACCTTATAAAAACTTTGTAAACCTTTTAAAAACCTTATAAAAACCTTATAAATGCCGTTTAGAACCTTTTAAAACCTTATAAATATTTGGATTTAGTTTCCCAGTAGTAATGATGATCTTGATGTACCTTATCAACTATATAAAAGTTTGTAATTTTTCATATTTGAAAATGGGTATTTTTGAAAATGAATAGAAACAAATAGAAACATTTATTATAATTTATAAAAGAAAACAAGTTATTGCATACTATAAAATATTTAGATCATGATATAAAAGTATATATGAAATCATATAAATTAAAAACGAAATAAGCGACTAGTTGTAATATTGATTTGTGCCAAATTATGAGGAAAATGTTTTTTTTTTTTTTTTCTATTTTTCCACTCACCCACTAATATTTTGACACGTCAGCGGCCCTTAGCTTTTGCTTATAAAGCTAATTTAAGCTACAAAGCTTATGTTTTGTGGTTCATTTTACATTAAATATAATGCAATTAATATAAGCAATGTGTTAAGCATTGCATTAAGCATCTCTAATGGAGATGGTCTAAACAGATAAAGTACGTTTACTATGATTTTAGCTTCTGATATGTGTGAATACTCGTCTTCTTCAATGTAATTATGTTGCTACAATGGTCTGAGACATTGACTTGAGAGTTTCCTTTATCTTAATGAATATAAACAACACTTAGGACGGCCATTTTATATTTACATATCAGCTAGATTATATTGTTGTCTGACTTTTTTTCCATTAGTCTATATATTATTTTCGTGTTCCTATCTCTTAGTGCCAGACGACGACCACATTATTATGACCTTCTCGACACAACAACTCCCTCTTCTCATCTTCTTCTTCTTCTTCTTCTTCTTCATCGTCCCTCTCCTCAACGCATCACAACCAAAACCTTGCTACACTTCCTCATGTGCACAAGGGAATGTCCATGTCCGTTTCCCTTTCTCCCTATTCCCCTATCAACCTGAGTCTTGTGGCCACACAGGATTCAACCTCCTATGCAATGATCGTGGGGACACTGCCTTGAAGCTTCCTCAGTCTGAACCATTTCTTGTCAGAGAGATCGACTATGAAACACAGCGTATTCGCCTCAACGACCCTGACAACTGCTTGGCCAGACGGCTTCTTAACTTTGACCCCTCTGGTTCTCCTTTCTCTCCTCTTCGTCCTCGCAACTACACGTTCTTGATCTGTCCTAAGGAAGATAACGTCACTGTATCCTTCAAAGCCATCGATTGCCTTGGTAACTCTACTTCCTCCTTCTTCCTTGTGCAGTTGGAGCTGGTCAGTTTGATGCCGTCTTCTTGTCAGATCTTTAAGACATTACCTCTTCCATTTTCTTGGTCTGCCGGCCAAAACAGTCGAGACCTGTGGCTCAAATGGGACTCGCCGGATTGCAGAGATTGTGAGAGGAGGCCTAATTCGAGATGTGGATTCAGAAACAATACTTCCCTCCAAGTCCAATGCTTCAGTTCTGTTAACCCTGGTACGTCGTTCCATCTCACTTCTTCTAGATCTCTTCTTTTGGAAACTTCATACCCAAGGAGTTGTTAACTTTTTTCTTATTCTTTGGGCCGATTAAACAACGAAATGAAACTAGTTGGCTTTAAATAATGACATCAATTCCATTGACTTTGATAAATATATGAATCAAATAGCAAACATGAGAGAATGTTGTAAGATTAGAATATATGAATATATGTTGTACAAGCAAGTTTCAGTGTTTCACCGTTGACCCGCTTTGTTGTTTCTTAACAGGAATTCACAACACAGGGTTACAAGTACTAAAGATAATCTGCCTCTCCCTAGTCGGACCACTCACTGCCTTGACTTTTTGTTTCGGTCTTGCCATGTGCAGTTCTGAGAGAGTCTCCTCCCAGATACAACACGCAGTGGTTGCACGGCTTTCGGGATCTGTAACGATAACGCCACAGCCAAGCGACGAAGTCACAAGGATGGGTCTCGATGAGTCTACTATTGAGTCATACAAGAAAGTTGAGTTAGGGGAGAGCCGGAGACTCCCGACCGGGTCAAATGATGATGTATGTTCCATTTGTTTGTCAGAATATGCAACCAGAGAAAGTGTTAGGTGTTTACCAGAATGTGAACATTGCTTCCATACCGAATGTATTGATGCGTGGCTCAAGTTGCATAGTTCTTGCCCGGTTTGTCGGAGTAATCCTTCTCCCACACATGAAGGGTGCAACTAACTTTGTATGCATAAATCGATTTGTATATAAGTCTTGGATTTGCCAAAAGATATTTTGAAAATGTTTTATCAGCGTATCGACGGACGAGCAAGTGTCCATTGTAGTCAAGTCTATTTTCGAGGCTCATAATTGCTTTGGAAAAACTGTCGAAACTAAGCCCAAACACCGAATTCAGAATACATTTAAAATCCACCCAATGTGACTATCGGACCAATAGACCACATTGGTGCTTTAACCTAAGTAGGAAATCAAAAAAAGGAGAACTCGGTAGATTCGGTAAAACCACAAAATTGAGAAAGTTTATGGTTGATGAGGAACGAAGATATTACAGATAAATAAGGAAACAAAATATTACAGATAAAAAAATGTAAGGACCCGATTTTGGAAACTCGAACCAAAACCCCATTAATCACGCATGTGTATAAAGGAAGAACCAGAACCCCAGCCAAGGCACCGAAACCCTAACCCGTCAATCTCGGTAAGCCTCTCGTACTCTCTCTTGTGTTGATCGATGATTGAGTTTATGTGTCTATGTTTCGTTTATTTAGTTAGCATAAACTCTTCAGTACTTGTTGTGTCTGTTTGTCGTGACTTTAGCTTAAGTTGTGTCGTGACTTTAACCTCAAGTTGTCGGTTTATTTTTAGAGTCACAAAGAAGAAGAGACTTGTTTTGTTTTTATATAATCCAAGACTTGTGACTTGTTAAGCGTTCAATGTCAATCCATAATTCTTGTTCATTTCTCTCTTTCTTGTTTAGTTTCAGACTTTCAGAGATGGCAGCCAAGAAAGATGAATTCTCCGTCAAGCAAATCTCTCCAAAGCTGGGGGGAGAAAGAGGAGCTCGAAACCCTTACGGCCCAACTTCTTCATACGACCTCGTCGAACAGATGGATTTTCTTTACGTAGAAGTAATCCAAGCCTCTAACGAAGGAGCCCTCGGATGTGACCCTATCGTCGAAATCACTCTTGGAAACTACAAATCCTCTACCAAAGATCTGCCAATTGGACCACTAAATACGGATTGGAATCAAGTCTTCGCTTTCGACAAAACTAAAGGTGATGTCTTGTCCGTTACTCTCAAAGACCGTACGACCAATACCGTAGTCGCCAAGCGAAACTTCAAGCTGGCCGCGGATATTCCTACTAGGGTTCCTCCTGATGCAAGAATCGCGCCACAATGGTACACCATGCAGAATACGGAAACCGGTCATCACATGAAGTTGCTGATGTCGGTTTGGTTCGGTACGCAAGTTGATGAGGTTTATCCAGAGGCTTGGTTTTCAGACGCCTCTGAAGTGAGTCCTAGTTGCGTGATCAACACGCGACCGAAGGTCTACCTAGCTCCAAGGCTCTGTTACGTTAGGGTTACCATTGTTTCAGGTCACGATTTGATTCCTACTGATAGAAAGCGGACTCCTTCGGTGTACGTGACGGCAACTCTAGATAAAGTAGCTCTAAAGACGGGAGTTTCTTCCGGTACGAACCCGTCATGGAACCAAGATCTAATATTTGTTGCATCAGAGCCGTTAGAAGGAACTGTCCACATTAGATTAATTGACAGAGTCGACGATCAACACGAAGAATGCATAGGTTCATTAAAGAAGAAGCTCTCAGAGATGACTCCGCTTAAACTTCCAAGTTCCGCACCGGCTTTGTTCTACGACATCGAACCGCCGGTTAAGGTCGAACCGGCCGGCGATTCGAGGAGGTTCGCTAGCAGGCTTAAGATGAAACTAGCGACTGATCAAGCATATCACGTCGCTGATGAATGCATCCAATACGCGAGCGACTACAGAGCTTTCGCCAAAGGGTTATGGCCGTGTCTTCTCGGGAAATTAGAAATCGGGATTTTGGGTGCGACAGGTTTAAAGGGAAGAGATGAGAAAAAACAAGGTATCGACAGTTATGTGGTGGCTAAATATGGGAATAAATGGGTGAGGACTCGAACCGTGGTTGATAGTGTCTCACCTAAGTGGAACGAGCAGTATTCGTGGGATGTTTACGACAAGTGCACGGTCTTAACGCTTGGAGTCTACGACAACCGACAAATAACTTGGAACAGTAAAGCTAATGATGTTCCTATCGGGAAAGTGAGGATCCCATTGAACCGTGTTCAATATGACTGGCTTTACGCGTATTCGTGTCCGATTCTGTATTTAGGAGCCACCGGATTGAAAAAGATGGGAGAGATTCAGCTAACCGTTCGTTGCGTCTGTGTTGCGCAAGACTACGCACGTTGGACAGCTCCTTTCCGATGGATGTTACCGAAAGCACATTACAAATCTCCTTTGTCGATGTATCAGATCGACAAGTTAAGGGCACAAGCTGTAGAGATAAACTGTGCGAATCTTGCGAAAATGGAGCCTCCTTTGAGAAACGAAGTCGTGTCGGATATGTTGAAGCCGAAGAGTAAGAACTTTAGTCTGAGAAGAACCAAAGTTAATTTCGAGAGGGGTTATGGTATGGTTATGAAAGTGTACGGTTGGTACGATTGGTTCGCAGCAAATACAAGACACTCGAGATGTGAGAAGCAGAAACTGGCTGCGCTTTGTCTCTTTGAAATATTCATTTGTTGCACCTCTTTGGTAGTTGGGTTGGCGATTTACGTGGCTGTGGCTTGGATAACACTCTTAGGTATATGGGGATTTTACAAGTTTATGATACGAACATATAACAAGTTGTGGCATGGGATCGAAACACCTCCACCTCCATTGATTGTCAACGATGTTAAGCTCTGGAAGCTTGACTCGCCCAACCTAGATGAGTTAGACGAAGAGTTTGACTCGTTCCCGACCTCGGTGAGCGATGTGAACGTCATACGGATGCGGTACGATAGATTGAAGATGGTTGGTGAGAAACTAATGACGCTACTTGGGAATATTGCGTCACAAGGTGAAAGGCTTTATGCGCTTTTGATGTTTTGTGGCGATCCATTGGCTTTGATGTACTTCTTTGGTTTGGTGGTCGCGCTTATTTGGTACTATATCCCCATGTTTGTTTGGGCTTTTCCATTGATAGGCTATTGGCTCAATTTTGCGTGCCTTCGCAACGATTTGCCAGCTGCACCCAACAACTTATTCAGAAGATTGCCCACCAACGAAGATATGTTCTGCTGAATCTATCTCTCTCAAGGGGCAACTTTTTCCGATTTGGACGGCCGGTGTTTTAAACCTAGTATTCATTTTCTCTTTTTGAAACCCATAAGTTAATCATAGGAATTTATTTATTTTGGTTGCTAAACTCTTTCTAAGTTTGCTACTTAATCCGTATCATGAAAAAGACAGACATTCTTTCTAAGTTTTCTCCTTAATCCTTATCATGAAAAAGACAGACATTTATTTAGTAAGTTGATTTTCAAATTATTTTGGGTGTTCTTTTTTTCTTGCCTGTGATGATGATGTAACGTAACAATTGGCAATCTAATGAAACTTGAATAGTTTACAAATCAAACTCGTTTTGTTAGTATAACACTATAACTCTTAGCTTATAGGAAAATTAGCTATGACATTGATCTGGTTTAACATATTTACTTTATCCACCTGCTCTGATACATTCTTACATATATCAAACAGTTTCAAATGAATAATTGGAACTTGAAAATATATATACAAATCTGTTTCAGGCCTAGTCTTGTCTTAGTTGTCTATACATATAAGGCAAGTAAACCATATCAGATTACCATAATGCAAATACATATTTGACTCATCTGCAATAGCTAATATGGTGATTATTTGTCTCCATTGGATTGGACAAGGCTTGTTTTAGATAGACCAAAAATACATATATAGAAGAATAATAGGCTTACGAAGATAAAGAAGATAAGGAACTAACGAAATAAAAAAGTTTACTACAATAACACGAAATAAGTATATGTACAATAGATTATATAAGCATCAGTGTTATTATTATTCGATTTGTATCATAACACAAATGCGTAAACTATTCACACAAGTCAGCTGATTTTAGTTCAGTATCTTTGGTTTTTACCAGACGGCTTAATATTAGAATCAGGACCTCGCTTGGCGTACAAGGAACCAGCCGCTGATACATTAGAAGGTAAAGAGACAGTAGCAGAGAGAGGTTGGAAATTGGTGTTTCCAACGAACCAGTAGAGAGCCCATTTGAGGTTGCAGAGAGTATACTTCAGTGCTTTGGTCCAACTCTCTTTCTTGTTGAAGCTCTGTGTTATTGAATATGCCTCCACTTTGTCATTATCGATCCTGCAAAATATGAGAAGACTTTCAAGGTTTTGGATCGCACGGATTAAGAAAATAAAAGTTGAGTGACAACAAAGATTTTGGTTTTGGGATAATGGAGACTTGCTTGAATGGAAGTTTGAGGCATTTCTCTGGTGGAATATTGTTTTCTTGGTCCTTTGAGTTTGCGAAATCGGCAAAGTCTTTAAGACACATCAAATACAGTGTCATGGCTTTATCGTACCGAGTACTCCAAAACAAGTTTACGGGACCAAACCTGACGAAGATCATTAAAACAGTTTTTACTTTTTAGTTAAAAACGCTGAAGAAACAAAGACAAAACTCACCAAAAGACTCGCGTAAAATCAGCACAAGACATATTTTAAGTTCAACTCCAAGAACAAACCCGTACAAGAATATGACAGTTAAACAATGAAGAATACTTACAGCTCATAAGTTTCGTTGTTGCTGTCTACAATCCTAGGATAACTCCCCATTGGCTGTATTTTAACTCGACATCTTTAAAAGGGTTACTGATTAAGGATAAACTTCATAAACAGTAAACAGTATCACACAACAAATTGAAATAAGGAAAAGAGTTGTGAAAAAATAGTAACAAGGATACTGAAATTTTGGCCGGAAATAGTTACACATTGTGTGGAGGAGAAGACAGGCTTGGCCCCAAGCAGCATTGATCTCATCCCACTCAACCTGATAATGTTTCATATGACCTAAGTTTACAATTTATATGAGCGGGAAGAGGTTATAACTTATAAACATGCAACTTAACTTCCAAGCTTACCTTTATGTCAGGGAGTATTCCAAGTCGAAAGTTGTTAATTGTACCAAAATCTCCATCATATCGTATGGGGAAAGCATCAATCAGTACGTTTGTCTTATTTAATAACTCTAAATGTGCTTGTGAAACTTCAATCTTTGCCAATATTGCATCTCTCTCTTCCTGTTAACAAAGACATATCTTTAAACACTAGATCTAAGAAACTAGTGTTATGCTGTTGCTCATAAAGCCTAACCCTTCACAAATACAACATTGACTACATAAAACCTAATCAAGTGCTATTAATAAGAAAACAAAAATTAGAGATAAAATTTATCAAGAATCCGTGAAGCAAACGAATGAAAGCTCTGGACTCTCCAAAAAATCATATATTGAAATGAGGGAGAACCCTAATAGTGTTACCAGCAAAGCACCTGATGGGCTATTAGTTGAAACTGAAAATTATTGAACTCTTGCCAATACCTATACCAGAAAATTTATGAAAACATGTGAGAAAATAAGAGATAGCATTAAAGAAATATTTGCCAATAAGGGAACAGTGAGAGAGCTTAACCGATCTTCGAGTTCATTAAATCGATTTCCCTTTGATTCTAGCTCCTTCAGTTGATGGTTCACCTCAGCATTTTGCTTCTCTGTTTCTTCTATAGCTGCAACAAGTTTTCTTTCTTCTTCCTCAATCTAAGTAGGGCAGTAAACAACAACAAACTTGTCACTTAACAGTATCTGCAATTCATCTCAGAGTCAAACAGTATGATGAAACCTGAAAATTACCTTCTTTTTTTCCTTAAGGAAATCAGATTCACTAAGAACTTCTTGTGTCTCCCCTTCTAACCGCTGAACACACGCTTCATATGCTTCCACGTCCCTCGTCACATCCTCGACTTCCTTTTCAAGTTTGTCAGACAATACCCTCATGCATTCTAAGCACAATGGCTGTTCAACCTAAGAACTCAAAAAAGAAGAAGGTAAAACATATTATCAGGTCCAAATGACTCCTATTATCCAACCAAATTTAATGCGACTCTTAATGATTCCAATTTATCCAGCAGATATACTCTTCAATCAAGAACCGTAACGTTATAGCATGATACCTGTGTCTGAGTTCTGGCAATATCGAAAGCTCGTGTTAAGACATTGATAGTAGCATTAAAGCCGGAATTATTTGAATGCAATGGACCGTTTTGGCCCACTTCAAGCGACAGATTATGAGAACCGCCTGAATCAGAAGCTGGCTCAGACTTGTACACGACTACAAACGATTCTTCCATTGCCTTTCCAGATTGAGTTGCATCAGGCTGAGCTGACGCCCCACGAGGACGTGGAGGAATGCCCTGAGCTGGAGGCTTCTGACGAGGTAAGACAACAAAAGAGTTGTCCATGCGTGTTGAACCAAGAACACTGTTAGCTCCATGGATGGAGGAGCCCTGCATTGCTGGAAGTAACAATCACATTCATTGTGAGAGACTTTACTAAGAACCTCTTTAACACATTATGAGAAAAAGCACATGGACAATTCATTACACATAGGTCTGATTCAACTCATAGTAATAACTTCTAATCAAAACAATTGCTGGAAGAAAAACAAATCACTACATACAATCTGACCATACTATTGAACCAACCCTAATAAAAACAGAGAAAGTGTTAGTGAACAAACTTAGATAGGTAAACAAGAACCCTAAGGCAATCATTGGGTATATTAAAATACTGTTGATATCTATAACGAACAAGAATCAGATTACCAAACATGAAGCTCCTGAATTCTTGATTCACTCTGAACGATATCAACAGTTTTTTGTTTTCTTTTCAAGTTGTAAGTAAAAGGGAACGAGAGAGGGAAAAAGAAGGCCTAACCGGAATGAGGGGAATCATTGAAAAACTTGCCGGCGTAGGAATCAACGCCGACGATGGTAAGGGAGTGGTGACAGTTTTGGCAGACCCATTTCGGCAGATTCGGATCGACCTGGATTGTCCGAGTTTTATCCGGGATCTCCTCTTTCCTCATCGCTACACTTAGATCTGATATCAACGGTGGGAGAAGAAACCAATAATTGGAATAAAACATTAAACTTCACACTCTAATTAAACCAAATCAGTTTCAAGGAACTCTGGTAAAAGCACACAAAGCACATCAGTTGCGCCAACATGTTCATAAAAGACTTCGAATTGGACAGAAACGTCTAACAGAAAAATACATAAATACATATTCATTATATAACTATATGATGTCCCATTCAACAATAAACTCAGCAGTACTATGAATCGATGCTAACAAACAAAACTAAACATTAACAAGATCCTCAATGCTAGATATAGAAGAACCAAACAAGATCTTGTAAGTTATAAGAGCCAGATATAGAAGAACCAAACAAGATCTTATAATTCATAAGACCCAATATAGTAGAACCAAACAAGATCTTATAATTCATAAGACCCAATATAGAAGAACCAAACAAGATCGAGTGCAACACCAAAAGACACACCTTTAGTTTATCTATCTTTCCCAAAGCTTTTTCTAGTTTCTCAGAAGATCGAGCTTCGCCTCTACCCAGCTGATTGCACTTTTCGGACAATTCCTTATAACTCCTGTCAAAGGATATACATAGAATAATGTTTTGACTTAGAGACTTGATAAAATAATATTATAAGAACCTGAGAGTTAAGAAACACAATGTACAATCCCCGTTTCCTGAACTTCTTCCCCATTTTCTACTTGCTTAGGAATATGAACAAAACACAACACATGATTCAAACTCAAACAAATCAATGCCCCAAATTAAAATCGAAACTTGGTAATATACCACTGAATGTTATACTGTAAACAGATAATACTTAGAACATAGCAAAGCATCCAGGCTGGGTCAAACATGTCATAAAACAGATCATAAAACCATAGCAAACATGTCATAAAACAGATAATATAATCAGAACAGGTGGATAAAGTAAATATGTCAAAAACCAGATCAAAAACCACTCACAGCTGCTAAACCAGATCAAATGAGTATTTGTAAGGAACGAATAACTAGCCAAAACACAATGCCCGTCAGCACAACAGCTCCTGCTCTTATCTGCAACACAAACCAGACACAAGAATTCTCAGCTACTGTAACAAAATTAGACACAAACACAAGAACTCTCAGCTACTGTAACAAAATCAGACACAAGAATTCTCAGCAGGTCCCATCATTCCGAACAGAATGAAACTGAGCCTAAGAGCAGAATGTAACTCTAGAGCAAAAAGCCAACAGTTTAGAGTAGGAATCATAAACAAGATGACATTTTGGTTAAGAACAAAGCATTGAAAAGCACTCAATATCACACGAAAACAGAGGGTAACTAGATCACATTATACTAAGACTAGGATGGTCAAAGTTTAAAATTTTAAAATTCAACAAGCCATTGGACTTCCATTGAAAATTCTCCACAAACCACATGACAACAACACAGATTATGATAAAACTACAATCTTTGCCTTATGTGAAGTTAATTCAGAAGTTTGTGGCAATCTGAATTAGTAAACTAGAGTAGTGTTGCAGATTCAGTAGCTAACAAGCTTAGTGTTTGATTCAATAGCTAACTAGACTCATTAACTCCAAGTAAACTGTACCTATAGAGACATTCACGTGAAACTGAAATCTAGTGAAACAATGTCAGCATACTAGCACAATTGTGTTGCAGACACATAATAATAGTAATCAAACGTGGGTTTGCTTTTAAATAAAGAAGAAGATTATATAGCATTAAGTAATACGGATGAAAACAAACTCATGAATAAGACAACACAAACCCAAAACATAACTATATTATGCTTATCATTTACATCCTAACTTTGTACAATCTATATCGAAACCACATATGAGCTCACAATCTGAGAAAATTCTCTAACTAAGCTCGATTACGAAAAATCAGATCACAACTAATGGACTCAACTCAGAGTCTCAGACCCAACTCAATCAAAAGAGAGAGAGGACTCAATATTGCAAAATCGAGACTTTAAAGCTAATCCAATACACAATCAAATTGGGTTTCTTCGCGACACGCACACAAAGATAATATAGCAAAGGAGCTTGAAAAGAAGCTATGCTAATATCTAGCTATGGAAAACCAAAAACAAAAAACGCTACGAAACCAGAGCAACGAGTTGAGAGACGAGGAGAATCGGAGACTTACGGACAAGCAGAAGCAGCGTTTGGTCTTAGAGGAGAATCAAACAAGGGAATTGAAAATTTCGATTTGTTTAATTTTCCCCAAAATTAGAAAGCCTAGATTGTTTTTTTTTTAAATCGGGCATCCCATTGTCTTTGAATTTCAAAGTTTTCTTCAGAGAAGAGAAGAGATCGAAGAAGAAAGAAAAATAATTCTCCGACGTTGTATTGAGGAAAAAGGAAGAAGACCAAAAGTTAAAAATTGTGCAACAGGGCCACCAGCCCTTTTTTTAACCCACAATATTTTAATAAAAGTTCTTTACTAACCCAAAAATTTGTTTATTATTCACATATTAACGGATCTGGGCTTATATTCATATTAACGGGTCTGGGCTTATATTCATATTAACGGATCTGGACTTATATGCATATTAACGGATCTGGGCTTATATTCATATTAACGGATCTGGACTTATATGCATATTAACGGATCTGGGCTTATATTCATATTAACGGTCGGCCCTTATCTTTGAGCCCTCTTTAACATCTCTAACTACATTGTTTGGGGGGGGGGGGGGGGGGGGGGGGGAACGGGTTTGGGGTTTGAATTTCTCTACTTATTCATAACATTCACGGCTAAATTCAGATTCCTCTCCTAGCAATACAAATTCGATGACTTCCGATACTAAATCTGATGAAAGACCTTGATGATGGAAGATAGACAAAACTCACAAGGAAGCTATAATTTTGGATAAAAATTGTCACCTTGTCAAAGGAATGTAGAGCACTAGTAGTAGAATAGTACCCTGCCATGGTATAGACTCGGGTTCGATTCTCGACTGGTGTATTCTTTTTATTTATGAGTATACTTTTGAAGCAAATTCACCAACTAGTTATAAACTGCATTGAAGATCCCAAATTATATCTCGAGAATATTGAACAAACTTTAGACATCCTAATTTTTTTTTTGATCTCTATCCCACAAGCCTTGCCTGTTATTCTTCTATGCATTTTTTCAGACATTTCTCTTGGGTCTCTATCTAAAACAAGCCTTGCCCAATCCAATGGAGACAAATATGTTTTTGCATTATGGTTATCAGATATGGTTTACTAGTCTTATATATATATAGACAACTAAGACAAGACTAGGCCAGAAACAAATTTGTATATATGTATATATATATTTTTCAAGTTCCAATTATTCATTTGAAACTGTTTGATGTAAGAATGTAGAGTGTGTGTTTATTTTCTTTCTATTCTGATGTTGCTAAGCAAAATGATGTGAGAACTCTTGCATAAAGCAGAAACGAGAGCTCATAACTAGAACATGTCACATGCGTTACTGTACTGTTGTTGTATTCCAAATTACATGGCGCTTCTTGGCCTCATCAAATGCTCTTGCCGATCAAAACAAACAAAAACATTCACATGCATGTGATTGGGTATGCATGTGTGTCGGCGCTGGGAGAAGATGTTCGAAATACTTTTTGTTTTGATAGATTGAGTAAATCTAAATTAATATATTTGGCTCTATGAATATTTATACAAAGTTACAATGACATTCGGATATAAAGTTTATTTGGTAATGTTTCCGACATGTTATGGGCTAAAGGCTACTTGTTCCCACTATTTCTTGTATTGCTCACCCACCAAAACCAACATTTTTATATACCATATTTATTGTTCTTTTCTTGTATCTATATTGTATTGTTTTAGCAGTGAATTACAACTCTATATTTTCCAATCAAGTGAACGGAGCTAACCAATAATAGTCAAGTGAACATTTCTCTTTCTTATATATGGTGATTGTGAGAGATATAACGTGAAGGATACGAGTTAAAAGGTCCGGTAACATTGTCTCCTCCTAGTACATAACAAAATTATGTAGTTTAACAAAATAATTGCCTAACAAATTTTTGCGGGTTATATTTAGAAATCAAAATCGTGTGGTTATTGGAATAGCGTACGTGTAACCAACATTTCAAGTGAAAAAATGGAGTTTAATCAAAACTAAATAATTTTTTTTTAAAAGTAAAATACTTATAATTTGGTTGCATACTTGCATTTCTCACGATATTTTGAGATCATTAACCTTCTCGCTTGGGTCAAAGGTTTGGAATAAAAAAAAGGCATCAAAGTAAATCAAATATATAGTGCAGTCGAGGTTGGGGTTGTGTCCTTCATTTTACCGGATGCACTTGCCGTGCCGTTGGGAAGTGAGAAATTTGAAACTCCGAAATTGCTTCTATCAAATATCACAACCATGTAGTTGTTGAGCAGCTGCATATGCATAGTAGATTTTATATAGGAAATTGTTAGTGAACCCTTATTTTTTTTCCGAGCAACAAGGATGCACAAATTTGTTGAAACATGGGTAATCAGCAAGGAATAAGAGATTGTGTGGAATTGTAGTGACGTGGAGAGCCCAAAGAGAGGTTTCTGTTTGGAAAGAATGTTCTCTTAGAGATTTGGCGACATCCAAGACCCAAAGGATCATCAAAACCTACGAATATAAAAGGTGTTGGAGAGGAGCTTGCTAGGGTTAGACAAAACAATTTTTTCTTGAGAGATTAAGTTTAGTTTGTTTTTGTGAATAAGAAGGATAAGAAAGAGGGTGTTCTTTATATCCATTCTTGTTTAGATTAAAAATCTCACGTTACAATCTAATATAGCTTAGGCTTTGGCCTTTGTGTATAAAACTAGTTATAAGTGAGTGGTAAACACTGCTTAATAAGATTTTTAATAAAGCGTAAAGCTTAGTGGTTATGAGTTTTGGGAAAACGGTTTTGAGTTCATCCGGTTTTTCAGAACTTACATAAATTGGTAAAATAGACAAAAAAAAAATGTTTATAAACCGCTTATATTTTACTTATGTTATACTTTAAAAAAAAAAAACAAAACTTATGTTTTACTTTTTTCCGTCAACTCTCAAGTTGTTTAATAATTATAATGTATGGATCAAAGATAATACCATATGATTATTAACTTTAGAAAAACTTGAATTGATACTTTTAAATGTAATTGTTATAATCTTAATATGATTATAAAAGAAGTACAAATTAAAAAATGTCTAAAATTAATCAATTTGCTTCAATTTCCATTGAAATTATGTGTATAACTAAAATTGATATGGTCATGCTTCCAAACATAGAGGTATTAATTACAAATGGTTGTTCAGGCGGAGCTGTGGGGTGGGATTACGGCCAGAAGCCTTTAGATGGTGTACTACATTTGTAAATACTTTTTGGTGCTATTTGTGAGAATTGTCTATAATTTATTTAAATTTAGAATAGCTTATGTAAATCATCTATAATATATAGAGATATGATTGATAAATTGAATATACACATACACATTTGATGATGATACAACATGATTATTTTATTTTAAAAAATCGATTGAGAACTGAAAATGTCAGATATTGAAACTATGAAAAACACATCATATTAGTTATAAATATTATTCGATAAATAATTTTATAGCATAGAAATTAAAATGAAAATATTAGAGTTCTATTGATTACATAATACATTTTTTTTTCTCATAATAAAAATTTATTAGTGTTATAACTTTAAACACCACTGCTTGCTTTCACGGTGATCCATACGTGGATACAAGCTTTTTCTTTGCTCCCTGTAATGTATGGAGATGAAAGCTAAACAAGATTAATGTTCAAATGAAAAAAAAAAAATTTTTGGTTTTCAAATTTTGAATATTCAAGATTCGAGCAACAAAGGCATGCAAGTTCAAATTCTATATGCATGTGTTACTCTCTTATTCCTAGGTAGAATTAAGGGTTATATATCACCTACCCTATCTAACCTAACCAAATGGTAATACGGGTTCACTATTTACCATTCATGAAATTTGGCCAAGGAAATAAGAGTGTGTATATGAGTATATACATACACAAAAACAGATCATACATACAAACATTAGCAGCCTTTTTAAATATTACCGGAGATAAAAGTATCTTAATTAACCAAATATAGTCTCTATCAGTTGTTATCAGTAATTAATTGACTAAGTAACTCAGTTTAGGTCAGAAATAAGCTTTTGTATGTGAAGAGACCCAAGGAAACAAATCCAGCAAAATAATTTAGAAATTGAGAAACGATTTCATAAAATGTCATATTGAAGTTAGATCGGAAAACCAAATCGGAGAATCAACATGAGAGAAAGAGAGAAGAACACCTTTATTAATCTGAGAAAAGTTTGTTACAAACACTTAACGTTCTAATCTCTGTTTAGTCAGCTTATATATGCTGATTCAACTTTACAATACTAAACCAATATTAAACCAATCTAAAATGTCAATAACCGGTTACAAACCAAGTACCAGATACTCTAATATGCCCCTCTCAAGTCTATATCTTCCTTAAGTTGGATTTGGAAGATAGAGACTTGACAATGACATTTGTTGAAGCAGAGTATAGAATGGTCCTGGATGAAGAGGCTTAGTAAGGATATCTGCATGTTGGTTTCCAGATGGAACATGTAGAGTCTTGAGTTTTCCAGCTTTAATCTGATCCCGAACTATGTGACAATCGATCTCAATATGCTTAGTCCTTTCATGAAACACTGGATTCATAGCAATGTGCAGAGCCGACTTATTATCACAAAATAACTTCGCTGGACAAGTCATTGTAACATGCAGATCTTTAAGTAACTGTTGTAACCAGATCAGTTCACAAGTAGCATTAGCTAGACTTCGATATTCTGATTCTGTGCTACTTCGACTTGTTACTGTCTGTTTCTTTGACTTCCATGAGATGAGTGAAGTACCAAGATACATGCAATAACCAGAAACTGATCGTCTTGTATCTTTGCAATTTGCCCAATCAGCATCTGCAAAACCATTAAGACATATCTCTGTATTTGCAGAATACATTAGTCCTAAACCCGGATTTCCTTTGAGATACCTCAGAACTTTATGTGCTGCTTGAAGATGCACATCTGTAGGTGCTGAGATAAATTGGCTGAGTTGATGAACCGCAAAAGTGATATCTGGTCTCGTATTAGTCAGATATAACATTCTTCCAATCAGTTCTCTGTAAGCTCTCGGATTAGACAATAGCTCTCCCATATCTTTGGTCAAATGTAGATTAGGATCCATTGGAATAGAACTTGGCTTACATCCTAATAGACCTGCATCTTCCAACAGATTTTGAGTATACAGTAAAACCTCTATAAATTAATACACGATAAATTAATAATCTCTATAAATTAATAAATATCTCCGGTCCCAACTTGAGACCAGTGTAATTTTAGACAAATTTCGATAAAATAATAAGATAATATTTTTTTTGAAAATCCTTTGTAAATATATGGTCCCATCAATGTTATAAATTAATAATTAGGTAAAACTTACAAAATATATGTATATATAGACACATTATTTTTTGTTAGAGTTTATTTCTAATATTCTACTATAAAAAAAAATGTTAGAATTGTCTTTCAAGACATAATAGTTATTATTTTCTTTGTTAATGACTATATAAAATACAAATTATCATGATTAAATCTTATTTTGAAATATTTTTTTGAAAACACTTTCCCAATTAGGATAATCTCTCTATAAATTAATAATTATTAATTTATCGATAAATTAAAACCTCTATAAATTAATAGATTTTCATGGTCCCAACATTATTAATTTATAGAGGTTTTACTGTACTTCCTCTGACAAACTGATATTCCTGCAGAGGATCTGGCTATCTCTAAACCAAGGAAAAACCTTGCTGGTCCTAAATCTTTAATCTTGAATTCAGACCTCAACAATGTTTTCAAAGCTTCCACTGCAGTGTCATTGTTACTGGCAATCATTATATCATCAACGTATACCAATACTGCAACAAAAGCTTGTGAATCAACTTTCACAAACAATGTATTATCAGCATGTGATTGGACAAAGTTAGCTCCCAGTAATACCGACGAAAATCTCTTATACCATTGGCGTGATGCTTGTTTTAGACCATATAGAGATTTCTTTAGACGACATACCGGATTAGGAGGCAAGACTCTGTCCTTTGGCGTGTATCCTTGTGGTAAAGACATAAAAATTTCTTCATCAAGCTCTCTATGAAGAAAAGCATTGGATACATCCATTTGGGTTAAGCTCCATCCTTTTGCAGCAGTTAGAGCTAGTATATATCTTACATTAGTCAGTTTAGCTACAGGTGAAAAAGTGTCAAGATAATCCAGACCTTCTTGCTGAGTAAAACCTTGTGCCACCAATCTTGCCTTATACCTCTCCACTGTTCCATCAGGGTTATATTTAATGGTGAAAACCCATTTACAGCCAACTACATTCTTTCCTTGAGGCAAAGACTCTATATCCCATGTATGATTCAATTCCAATGCAGCAAGTTCCTCATTAGCAGCACCAGTCCACTTTTCAGATTTCATAGCTTGGCTAAATGTTTTTGGTTCTGTTTCAAGACTATAAGAACAGATATATGATGTATAGGAAGGATGTAATTTGTCAAAAGAGACAAAAGAAGTAATCGGATATGGGGTAGTATGAGGTTTCTGGATAGGGGTAGATATTATTTCTGGTGTAGATATAGTAGTATTAGGTGTTGTTGGTGGTAAAGTAGAAAGAAAAGGAACTAATGAACAATGATACTCAGTCAGATAACTAGGAGCTTTTGTCGTTCGTTTAGGCCTAGCTATGTTTACAGTACTAAGACTAGTATCTATTGGTACATGATTAGATGATAAAGGAATGGTACTAGGACTGCTATTTGTGTGTGCAGGACGAGATGCAGATGCAGATGCAGTATTATTAACAGTCCTAAGATCATCTACTGGAAAAGTTTCAACAGAATGTAAAGGAACATGTAAAGGAAGTATAGTATTAGGAAACATATCAACTGATTTATGTAAAAACTCACTTGTTTTAAAAGGAAAATCTTCTTCATGAAATATAACATTGCGAGAAATCAGAATAGATTGAGATTCTAAATCTAAAACCTTATAACCTTTGTATCCAGAAGGATAACCTAAGAAGACACCAGGTTTTGCTCTAGGAGAAAACTTATTTCTATCTTTTGTATATGTAGAAACATAACATAAACAACCAAAATTTTTAAGCAATGAATAATCTGGTAACTTCCCTAAGAGTAATTCAAAAGGTGATTTATCATTCAACAAGGCTGAAGGTAATCTATTAATCAAGAAAACAGCTGTATTCACACAATCACTCCAGTATAACAAAGGTATATTAGACTGATAAAGTAAAGATCTTGCAACATTCAACAAGTGTTGATGCTTCCTTTCTACCACAGAGTTCTGTTGTGGTATATAAGGGCAGGAAAAATAATGCATCATACCAGTCTCCTTAACAAGATCATTAAAAGCTAATTCTGGTGCGTTGTAATTCCTAATTGCCTTAACTATTGAATTATATTGTGTTGAAACCATTTTCAGAAAAGTTGGGAAGATAACAGTAACATCACTTTTATTTCTCATCATATAAACCCAAGTAACTCTAGTACAGTCATCAACAAGTGTAAGAAAGTATCAATATGCACTAAATCAAACGGATGTAAAGCTAAATGATTATGTGAAACATAGGCTAATCTTTTCTGTTTTGCTAATGGACAAATCTTACAATCCGAAACAGCAAAAGATACACTTTTTAAAGAAGGAATATGACTAACAAGTTTATACAAAGCAACTGGTGAGGGATGACCCAAACGTTGATGCCAAAGAACCCCATCAGCAAGCTTAGAATCAGAAACAGAACAGACCACAGGAAGAGATGAAGAGAGGGAGTGATCTTCTTTGTCAAGAATATAGAGGTTGTTGTATAGTTTACCCCTCCCAATCATCAAGCCCCGTGTAAGTTCCTGAATCTAACAACAAGTAATGTAAAAATGAGCTGAACAGTTTAAAGTTTTAACCAAGCAACTCACACTAATCAAATTAAACTTAAAATCTGGAACATGTAAAACATCATACAAAATTAAAACTGATGAAATGCATATTGTGCCTGTGTGTGTGATAGGAACCCTAGTACCATTAGGAAGAGTGACTGTAACATTAGACACTGGTCTCAATTCCCTAAACATATCTAAGTCTGAACAGACATGAATAGAAGCTCCACTATCTATTATCCAAGCATCATGAGGCAAAAATTGTTGTAAAGAAGAGAGTGTATGATTTTGAAAAGTGAGATTATTATTCTCATACTTAAGACTATTAGAAGGAAAAGAAACAGTACCAGATGTTGATGTTTTTGCCATTAAACCATGTTCAGATATAGTGGCTGTACCATGAGTACCAGTAACTGCAGCTATAGGAACATCAGATTCTTGAGATGAAGATTGTATCTGAGAATTAAACTGATGAACCAATTGCTGAATCTGTTGTGATGTTAGATTCTGAAGATTCTGTATTGAACCATCAGTCGCAACATAAGGCATTGATTGAGACTGAGGAGGCAAATACTGAGGTTGTGCAGTCGGAACATAAGTACCAAAATCTGTAACAACTGGTGTAGAATCAGAGTAAACATTGGCAATTGCATTAGCTTTATGCATTGATTCATAAGGATTCATTTGCGCTCTAGGCTGATAAAAAACCATCCGAGGTTGAAACTGAGATACTGGCATTCGAGGTTGCAACTGTTGCATTTGCTGAACCTGTTGCATTTGCTGTCCTGTAGCAGCATTACCTTTAAAACTTGAACCAGAACCCGTCTTGTAACCCGGTGGATAACCATGAAGTTTAAAACACTTCTGTATAGTATGCCCCACTTTCCCACAGTGAGTGCAAACAGGCTTCTGAATTGGGCGATTAGTGTTATATGCAGCAATGTAAGCAGCATTATCCATGTCAGTATCTATTGGTGCTACTGCCTGGAAAGCTACATTATCAACACGAGAGAGTGGCTTAATCGTTGTTTGCCTCTCATCTTGAGTTAATATGTTGAAAGCATCCTCCATTGATGGAATTGGCTTAAGCATAAGGATATGACGCCTTGTCTGATCATAACACTCATTTAATCCCATCAGAAACTTAGTAACTCTACTTCTCTGCTGAAGAACTTCCCATTTTGCAGCAGCTTCACATTCACATCTTCCACAAGTACAAACAGGTAGCTCCACATAGTTCTTATACTCTTCCCATAAGGTAAGCAACTCAGTGTAATAAGTGGAAATATCCATAGAACCCTGTTCAATCTTGCTTAAACGCTGCTCAATAGCAAAAATCCTAGGTGCATCACCTTGCTTAAACCTAGACAAAATGTTATTCCAAATTCCTTCAGCAGTAGGGATAAAGAGTAAACTCTGACCTATCTTCTTCGAAACTGAATTCATCAACCAAGTAGAGACAATATCATTGCAACGTGTCCAAGCTCCATAATCTCTATGATCTTCAGCTGGCTTCACAATCGTGCCATTCACAAACCCAAGTTTATTCCTGACATTCAATGCCATCATAACAGAACGTTTCCAAGAATGAAAATCAGATGCAGTCGTAAGTCTATCAGAAACAAGAATCAAACCAGCATGATCATTGTTATTCAAATAATACGGATTATCAGATTGATCCGCCGGAAACCGTGTTGTTTCACCACTACCAGATTCCCGATTCACCGGAGTCACCATTTGAAAGATTTAATAAAATGAAAATTTCAAGAAAATGTGATGAGCAAAGAATAAATCCCAATCACACAAAGATCAATTGAAGGAAACAAAAAGAAGAAGAAGCACGAAACCAACAAAAATTGCAGTTAACAGCTCCGAAATCGCAGCAATGGCGATACACAAAATCCAGCTGAAAGAAGCGTTTGAACAACTCATTCTCAAAGATGCGGGAACAAGATAACTCCGATAATGGATTAAGAAGCGGAAGATTCAAGCATTGTGCTCTGATACCATATTGAAGTTAGATCGGAAAACCAAATCGGAGAATCAACATGAGAGAAAGAGAGAAGAACACCTTTATTAATCTGAGAAAAGTTTGTTACAAACACTTAACGTTCTAATCTCTGTTTAGTCAATACTAAACCAATATTAAACCAATCTAAAATGTCAATAACCGGTTACAAACCAAGTACCAGATACTCTAATATGTCATATTAATAACCATTTGATTAAAGACATATATTTTGTATATATATCCTCTCGAGTCTCGATCCGATTCCACTAGTACCAAAACCGTTTTCATCACAGATTGTCTGATAATTTTATGTGAAAGGAAACGTGTCAGGACAAGCTGGTTTCACATACGTACGCATTAGGAGTATGTATATATACTAGCACCAAAATGTTACAAATTAAGTAAGTACGTAACTGAGGGATGAAATGTGTATACATATATAGTTAGTCCTTCATACTCATTTTAGTCAGTGGATGTGTACGTGCGTGAGAAGTGAGAAACGTTGGCTGACGTAGCTAGCTAGTGACGGTGGTGGTGATGGTGATCATGGTGATTACGGCAATGGCGATGTGGTGATATATAGTGGCAAAGGCGGCGGTGATGGTTCATCAGTACACAATATATGTTTCATCATGCATGAGCTGACGTGGTGGTGGCGGCAACAACAACAACAACTATACAAATATTAAGTACTTGGAATCGATCGATGTAGAGAGACAGATAAGCTCATAAAAAAAAAACAAGTGTATGTATGTATACGTATTATGAGTTGTGACGTACAACCAATAAAATACCCCACAAGCGTAAAAAGCGCAATTATATAGAGAGAAGAAGACATGAGAGAATCCATTTACGTTTCTTCCTATCAGATCATATGTGTGACCCAAAAACTTTCTCTTATCTTCTAATAAAACCTTTTTCCTTTTGACCAAAAGAAAAATTAAAAATGCGACGTGACTCTTTTTCGATATAGCATCGACATTTCTTTTTATAAATTCGAAACAAAAAGCTTATGGAATTATATATACATGGACGTCTAATTTGATTATACCGACCAAATACAACTCTATATGTTGGCTTATTGGATAGACACATGGACATCGGACATTTGTTTTTTTATCGATTGTTTATAGTTCCAACACTACTTTTTCTCTATATAAATAAATATTAACCAACACAATAATTATAAACGGATCTAGTAACATTTTATATCATTTTCTTTTTGTAGATATTTAAAATAACCAATTTATTGGTGTATGATTTATAATTATAACATATGGAGTGCGATTTTAAAAGCTCTATTTTCGAAACTATTTATTTGGTCCACTAATACCATTTAATTAACACTATAAATGTTTTTTTTTTGTGTGCATATATACAATAATGTTATGGTGTAAAGTTTCGATCATGATTCTTTTATTTAAAAAGCGTCACTACTATTATTAGCATTATTAATTGAAAAAAATGGTGTCACTACTATTATTAGCACTATTAATTAAAAAAAAATTGTGTCACTATGTTATGTTTGTATATAGTTCGTTATTCTTTAGTCGACTTAATTTGTTAGGTTTTCATTCATTAAACAACATATTATTAAGATTTACCGTACAAAAGCAATGAAAGGGTATATATATCATTATTATGAACATTATTAAGTAATGATGAGATGAGACACAACGCAATGCTCAAAATTATTAGGTCGTCGTGACTCGTGAGGGACCATTTTCGCATTCATAACCTCAAAAAGGGCTTTAGGTTTTATTATTACTTCTCTTTATAAATGCCTCAACGTGGCTGCCCTTTCACTTCTCTTCGCCACATATCTTCTCTCACTTATATAATTAAAGTGTGTGTCGTTTGTCCATTAAATACGAGTATGTTAGATTTTTCTTTTTTTTTCTTCTTTTGATTTTCCTTAAATCATAAAAAAATTGGGATTAGGTTCATAACTTTCTTGGTGGATGATGTCTCGATGACCTAAAAATTGGGATTAGGTTCATATCTTCTCTCACTTATATAATTAAATGTGTGTGTGAATTATAAATGATCAAAAAAGAAAAAACTTACGATCTAGTGAGTAGTGATTATGATTATATCCTTATTTTACAATCATTTGAATTCGTTAAGAAAAGAGACTGATGATCAAATAATCTTTTTTTTTTCTCCACAATTATCATAGTCATTAAAATCTTTTATGAAAATGTATTTCACACAACAAAATAAAACCGAACTAGAATGGCAAAGAATCTATGTTAGTATTATCATCTGTTCTGTTATCATATGAATTTAAATTTGACAAAAGTATATATATTTCCGAAAATATGTAATTATATCACGATTAAAAGCATATATACAAAAAAATGTAAACAGGCAAAGACAAATTATTTGAATCGAACCACACTGATCATATTAGTAAACACTTTTTTGTTAGGGTTCAAGTACATACATACATAATAACTACCATAATTACCGTTTAAGGTGCAGATAAAGTATTATCCGAATAACTCGATCTACCCATTAAAAACTAAACTAAAACCCCTTAGTTTAAACCAATAAATTGACCATAATTTAAAACAACTTGACTCTTTAGATTTTACAAAATTAACCAGAATAAACTGAATAACCTGTAACCTAAATTACTCGAACTTCCTATAATTTGGTAATCATTTCGTTCTTTTTTATTCTCGTATGAATATTATCGATTTTGGTTTAAATTCAGATCGTATTTTCAAAAGGGACTTAAAACCTGAATAATCCAAACCACAACCATGACATGAATATCCTAATGGGAAAGCCTAATTGTTGGTAAAATACATTAGTCCAAACCGTTAGCTTAATTTGTTCCTCTATCTCTCTATACTTTTCCCCAAAAATAACAAAAAATAAAAAAATTGTTCTTCTATACAAAAATAGTCATCAGTCCAAAAACGTTAGCTTTCTTCTATCCAAATCACTCTTCACCTATTCGATTGGTTGTAACACTTACACAACAACAACAACAACACACACAAACCAAAAAACCAAAAAAAAACAAAATCAAATTCATTGTTCGTCTCTCGCAGCAGCAACGGTTCTTACGAGAGAGAGAGAGAGAGAGAGAGAGAGAGAGAGAGAGAACTTGCTTCTGTGTTTGTTTCCCAATTTCTTCTCCCTTTTCAAACTTTTCAGTTATCTCAGAATCTTGTTATAAAAAGTTTTGTATCGATTCACTTCAACACTTCACCGAATCTGTAATCTTCCGATTCCAATTTGTTTTCCCCCAATCTATGGTGGAATCAATCTCTTTCTATCTTTTTCGAAACTTTTCTCGGGAAAATTTTGATACTTTCGAGGAAAGTGATGATAAAGCCCGAGTCTTTTGAATAAAAGAAACTGTTTTGGACTTCCCTTACTGTAATTTTTTTCAATGATTCGTTGAATGAGCAGCAGAGCAGCTTTACTAATAAGGGTTTTGTGCTATCTTCATCTCTCTCTCTCTAAGTGATGGGTTGTGCTTATTCCAAAACTTGCATTGGTCAGATTTGCGCCACGAAAGAGAATAGTATCAGGCATACTCATCATCAACAAGCTCCGGCTAGAGTTGGTGCTGGTACGAGAACTCCGAATGCGACTGCGGCGGCGGCGGTTGAGGAGGATAATAATCCGGTGTTTAATTTCTCTTCGGATGCGGTGGATGATGATGAAGATAACCACGAAATCCATCAGCTTAGTTTGAGTAGAGACCAGGAATGGGGGATTACTCGGCTTTCTAGGGTTTCTTCTCAATTTCTACCACCGGATGGGTCAAGGGTTGTCAAGGTTCCGTCTTGCAACTATGAATTGAGATACTCGTTTCTCTCTCAAAGAGGGTATTACCCTGATGCTCTCGATAAGGCTAATCAAGATAGTTTCGCCATTCATACGCCTTTTGGGAGTAACTCGGATGATCACTTTTTTGGGGTTTTTGATGGGCATGGCGAGTTTGGTGCGCAGTGCTCCCAGTTTGTGAAACGGAAGCTGTGTGAGAATCTTCTCAGACATGGTAGGTTCCGTGTAGATCCTGCAGAGGCTTGTAATACGGCCTTCTTGAGCACGAATTCTCAGTTGCATGCTGATGTAGTTGATGATAGTATGAGTGGGACAACTGCGATTACGGTTATGGTTAGAGGAAGGACAATCTATGTGGCTAATGCAGGTGATTCCAGGGCGGTTTTAGCTGAGAAAAGAGATGGTGATCTTGTTGCTGTTGATTTGTCTATTGATCAGACTCCATTTAGACCTGATGAGCTTGAAAGGGTTAAGCTTTGTGGAGCTAGAGTTCTTACTCTTGATCAGATTGAAGGCTTGAAAAACCCTGATGTTCAGTGTTGGGGTACTGAGGAAGATGATGATGGAGACCCTCCGAGACTTTGGATTCCCAATGGAATGTATCCTGGAACTGCTTTTACCAGGAGTATTGGTGATTCTATTGCAGAGACAATTGGTGTTGTTGCTAACCCTGAGATTGCTGTTGTTGAGCTCACACCAGATAATCCTTTCTTTGTGGTTGCTAGTGATGGGGTCTTTGAGTTCATCTCTAGTCAGACTGTGGTTGACATGGTAAGGTATTCTTCCCTCCGCAGTCTTACTCATTATAGATCCCAAAGTAGATGAAGCAAGTCTCACAGAATGTGGACGTTTTTTTTTTCAGGTTGCAAAACATAAGGATCCTCGAGATGCTTGTGCTGCAATTGTTGCTGAATCATATAGGCTATGGCTACAGTATGAAACTCGGACAGATGATATAACCATCATTGTCGTGCACATTAGTGGACTAAAAGATGTAAGCAAAGCTTCTGTTTGTAGGCTGTATATTATATTTTCTTGTCTTTGTTGATGGCTGAGGTTAGATTTTTATTTTTATTAGGATGCTCCTCGGCAATTGTCAAGTACTGGAACTCTATTGCAGCCTCCTACTCCCCAAGTTGTGGAGCTTACAGGTTCGGAATCTCCTTCCACCTTTGGATGGAATTCTAAAAACCAACGTGTGAGGCATGATCTATCTCGAGCCAGAATACGTGCCATTGAGAGTTCACTAGAGAATGGACATGCCTGGGTTCCTCCGTCTCCAGCCCATAGGAAAACCTGGGAAGAAGAAGTAAGAGTAATTGTCAGCTGCACATTTTCTCAACCAATCGGGAATGCCTTGAGTCATTCTTAACTTCAAAGGCTAAAAGATGAGTCTTTTTCCGTGCAGGCACACATTGAGCGGGTGTTGCGTGACCACTTTCTCTTCAGGAAACTCACTGATTCTCAGTGCCAGGTTTTGTTGGATTGTATGCAAAGGCTTGAAGCTAATCCAGGGGATGTTGTTGTGAAACAGGTTGAAGCATATTCCTCCTTGATCACAGATTCTGCAACAAATATCCATCAATTAACATAATATCATGATCTCTCTGGTTTGTTCTCTTGCAGGGTGGTGAAGGGGACTGCTTCTACGTTGTAGGTAGTGGTGAATTTGAGGTCCTGGCAACTCAGGTTTGTTCTATAGCAACTAAATTTGACTTGTGAGCAGGTTTGAGCATTATTATCACTCTGCTTAACTGGGGATGAATATTAGGATGAAAAGAACGGCGAGGTTCCTAGGATCTTGCAGCGTTATACAGCTGAGAAACAATCATCATTCGGTGAACTTGCCTTAATGTGGGTTCTCTGCACTTTTCTTACTTGAAATATTCTTCTCAGGAGCGGAAGTACTCTCTGTCTAATTCAGTTTCTTGCAATATATGATGGTGCCAGGCATAACAAGCCGCTTCAGGCTTCTGTACGCGCTGTAGATCATGGAACATTGTGGGCCTTAAAAAGAGAGGATTTTAGAGGAATTCTGATGTCTGAGTTTTCAAACTTAGCATCCTTGAAGCTTCTTCGTTCTGTCGATCTTCTTTCCCGTCTTACAATTTTGCAACTAAGCCATGTTGCAGAGTCTCTTTCTGAAGCTTGCTTCTCGGATGGACAAACAATAGTTACCAAGGTGAAGTTAGTTTTGCATATTGCAAAAGATAACTAAACTTCTTTACCCAACAGATTCTTACTCATACTTTTCTTTGAATGTATAGGACGAAAAACTTCAGGGCTTGTATGTTATCCAGAAAGGGCTTGTGAGAATTACTTTCGGTACAGAGGTGTTGGAGAGTCAAAATATTTCAAGCCTTAAAACTGAAATCACTAAAGAATATGAGAATGCTGAAATTGGAACAGAAGTCTCCATAGAAAAGCAAGAAGGAAGTTACTTTGGCGAATGGGCTCTCCTTGGCGAACTCAAAGATTCCTTAAGTGTGGTCGCGGTTGGCGATGTGGTCTGTGTGATTTTAACAAAAGAAAATTTTGAGTCAGCGGTGGGCCCTCTGACCAATCTGACAGATGACAGTCACAAGTATGACACCACAGTTTTCTTCATGCTTGATTTTGAGTTTAGGTCCGTAAGTTTCCATTGGTGGAATGATTTCATGTAATGTTTTTTGTTTAGGTCAAGACATTCTTCATTTGATCTGTCTAAGGAACCTGCAAAAGTTACTGATACCACTGCTCTTGCTAAAGCCACCCTTGCAGACCTGGTAAATAATCTTTACTTTACATAAATCATAACCATTTCTTCTCGGTTCACCCTGTTTTGGTTTATCCAGGAATGGACGACATGCTTGAGTTCAACAGACTGCAGTGAAATTGGGCTTGTGCAATTGAAAGATAAAGAAAATTTGCTGAGCTTGAAAAGATTTTCAAAGCAAAAGGTAAAAAAATTAGGTAAAGAGGCACAAGTCTTGAAAGAGCGGAATCTGATGAAGAACGTTATAAAGGCCTCAGCTTTTGTTCCCGAAATCTTGTGCACTTGTGTCGATGAAACATTTGCAGCCATCTTACTGAATGCTACTCTTGCTTGTCCAATATCTTCTCTGCTTCACTCCCCGCTTGACGAGTCATCTGCCCGTTTCATTACCGCCTCACTTGTGTCTGCCTTAGAAGATATACACAAGGTTAAAAACTTTTTGTCTAACTTCTCCACTAATTTCTAAGATTTCGTGGTCTGAAACTCAGTCTTTTTCCTTTTCTTTTGCTTTTGGAATTTCTAGAACGAGATTCTCTTCAGAGGTTCATCCCCCGAGTTACTGATGTTGGATCAATCCGGATATCTACAGGTCTGTGTGTTTGCGTTACATGGCTCTTTCGGTTTCATATAATCTATTATACTTCCACCAGATCATAATTTTAATCTCTTTGTTGTAGGTTGTAGACTTCAGATTCGCCAAGAAACTATCCGGGGAACGAACATTTACAATCTGCGGAAATGCAGATTATTTAGCCCCGGAAATTGTTCAAGGAAAGGGACACGGTTTTGCAGCTGACTGGTATTGATTTTCCTCTTACCCTCATGTATTTCATTTTCGGGATAATATTTGAAGATATGTAACCTTCTCTTGCGCTGATTCAAAAAGGTGGGCTCTTGGAGTTTTAATCTACTATATGCTAGAAGGAGAAATGCCATTTGGGTCATGGAGAGAAAGTGAGCTAGACACGTTTCAGAAGATTGCAAAAGGCCAACTAACTTTTCCTCGAGCACTAAGCTATGAAGCGGAAGATCTCATTGCAAAGGTCTCATTTTTGAGTTTCACATCTATTAAAAATAGAAATCTCTGGTTACAGTTTCTTACCTGTATCTTAAAACCCTTGTGTAGTTGCTTGAAGTTGATGAAAACCTGCGGTTTGGTAGCCAAGGAGGTCCTGAATCAATCAAGAAGCATCCATGGTTCAATGGACTTAAATGGGAAGCTATTAGTAATCGCGAATTTGAAGTTCCTCAAGAGATAATGTCGCGCATCCATCACCATTTGGAGAACGACACGGTTCTCCCTTTAGAAACTGCTCAATCGCTCGACACAACAGATGACAAAGATGCTAGAAATTGGCTAGAAGAATGGTAAGCGACTTCAAACAAAAACCGCAGCTCTTTTTGCCCGCTTCTATTCAATTCAAATTTATGTGCTTGAAAACAGTCATTGATGCTGAAAACAAGGGAGCCTATGGATCTTAAAACCATGATTCATGAGAAAATTTAGGATCCTTTTGGTTGTGGTGTAAATAGGTGTATATGTTAGATAATGGCTGAAGAAGATCTTTCACCAATCACCTCCAAATTCTTTTTGTATTGTCTGACTTCTTTTTCTGATGAGCTCTGACTTTTATAGAAAGAGTTCTATGTTTTGTGCCCGCCTGTAGTCTTAATGATTTTCGAAGATAGATAAGCATTATGCAATGAAGTTAGTAAACCATACAATCCAATACAATTAACTTTGGATCAAACTCCAATTAATTAAGCTCAGATATATCTTAAAAGTTTGGAGTACTTTTTCTGAACTCAGCAATGTGGTTTTTCGTTAATATGAATGCTAAATAAGATTTATATTAGTGCCATTACATAACAATATTGTGTTTTTCCAAACTCTGATCATAAATTTGGGTTTAATTCGAAATGTTGACCGTAAATTTGGAAACATAAACTCGTTTTTTATAATTTGGATCTGATCATAATATTTTAGAGTGGACTTATAACAAAGAAAATGTCATTTACTGGCGGCTAATTAAACAATCTAAGCAAATTTAGTGGTCTACATGTTTTCTTTTTGTTTTAAACTATTACATACAACTTTATTGTAAGTTACAACTTGTAACACTATCATACTTGAAAACCCCTCAAATTCATTTCATCCAACGTGTATCATAAATCACTATTTTGATCTCAAAACGTGGGTAAGGGTATCTGTAAAGTGTTTTTTGCAAGTCGACTACAAAATCACATGTTGCCCTAATCCAAGTGACCGACCAAAAATGGTCTACAAAGAGCATTTGCAAATAGTGAAATTATATCTGGAACCATTACGAGTTTATACATAAAGTCAACCCTAAATCCAAAACTGATTCTAGTTTTAGTAATTCATCAAACTTGTCAAACGGGGAAAACCTATACATTAAGATTTTGGCGAGTCGTGTTTAGTTCATTCCCTTTCTCTCTGCTAACAAACCACTGAGCCGTTCTTCTAGCAATCGGCAACCACAACCGCCGTCTTCTTTCCTCCGTCGTCGCAGGGTAACTCTGCGACGTAGACGCTGTAGCAGCTGTTGAACAGCTGCAGCTTCCTCCAACCACGTTTTCTCTAGTAACAGTCGTGATCTCAGACACCGTTCTTCTAGATGAGTCTTTGTTCTTCCACATTCTCTTCATTTCTGTATCTTCCTTGTCCCGGACGTTACCTCTTTGCACTCGATCCATCGACGTGAATCTCTCGCTTGACATTGAATTCAGCATTTCAGCACTCAAAAACGTCAAATCCGATGAAGTTACATTACTCCAACGGTTCTTAAACACGACGTCTGAAACGACGATCCTGTGATTGAACTTGTGCATAACTTTCTTCTCCTCGATGCCCTCGTTTGCTTGTCTCTCAAGAAACAACGATTTCTTTAGAATGTTCCGGAAACTGCTGAGTCTCGAAGACCCGTCACTATTCCTTTCTTCGCGTTCGATGTAAATCTCCAATCCCGAGTCTTCTTCTCTTGTCTGAGACTGGTTCACGATCCTAAGACTATTGTTGCTATTTCCCAAAACAGAGAGGTCGTCTTCAATATCGACTCTGTTTCTACACAAAGGACACGTGGCGTGCTGCTCAAGCCACTGGTCAATACACCCAATGTGGAAAGCGTGTCTGCATTTAGGCAAAAGCCTAAGAATCTCAACATCTTCGAATTTAGACAAACAAACAGAACACTCGAGCCCTTGTTTTAACCCTTTCAAAGCAGAGAACCTGAAAAAGGGAAGAGACTCGATTGCCGTCTTGTCGAGACCAGAGAATCGAGAGGAACGATTGAAAAGCCCTTGCCAGAGACGTTCATGTCGTCTTCTCTCTACGTCACCGTCTGCCTCTGATCGGAGATCGTTGTAGAAGCATTTGGCATAGACGAGGAGAACAAAGGTGAGAGTAAAGACGATGGAGAAAACTCCGGTGATGATGGCTAAGCTAGGCTTGAAGAGGTCGCTTGTTGCGTACGGATCAAGAGAAGGAGGAGGAGGAGGAGATTGAGCAGAGACATAGTCTAAGCAGATGATTATGATGATGATATACAAGAGAATGGAGAGTTCTTGTGGTGAATTCATCGTTTGAGAAAGTAAGAACAAAAAAGTCGTATTTGTGAATTTGTTGGCGAGAGAGATGTTTTAAAACGCAATAATATATATATATATATATATATATATATATTATCAACGTGACATCACTATTGATCTCATTGAGAGGCATGTATAATTCTGTGAAAGGGAATAAACTATTATGGTGGAATAAGTTAAATTATATGATTTTAACTAGATGTTGACCCGCGGTACACCGCGGGATAATTTTTTTTTTTTTAAATTCATATTTTTAAAAATTTATAGATGTTAGAGTTTATTTAATAATTATTAAGATTGCATAATATCAATCTTTACTAAATTAGTTTAATTATACATGTTTTATATTAGTGTCGGTTAAAAAAGTAGTAAAATGACCCGTATTGAATTGTGAGATTAATAATATTCTTTTTTTTTTGTAATATTAAGTCAAACCCGTTCCATCTTACAACCCGACCCGTCATATAACTTGTTGGAAGCATATTATAGTATTTCTCGTCTTATACCCCATCATGTCATATAATCGCCAAAAAAAAATACATATTTCCCATCTGTCCGTCTTGATTTTACTTCAATAAGTAAAAGAAAAAAATGCTATCAAAACTGAAAAACAAAAATGGATATTCTAAGCTTACACACAAAGATTTGGTTATATATATAGGTAAATGGTGTGGGAAAGTTAAATATTTTAAATAATAAAAATTAACAAAATATTGCATAAAGGATTTGTATTTTCTTATCTTTTAAATATAAATGGAGAAATATAAAATATTGATATGTTTTGTAATTTTTGATTTATTTTTAACATATTTTTACCCAAAATATTGCATAAATTTCAATGTTTCGGTTTTCACTTTCCACAAATTTCGTCAAAGAAATTCTGTACATAATAAATTGAAAAAGGTAAATTTAGAAAATTTTAATAATGTTTTGATCTATTTTTATTATATTAAAACCTAGTAGTTATGGTAGTTACTAAAATATAGAGAAATTAAAAGTTTCAAATTGTTTCTTTTTTTTTGTGGAAAGTTTCAAATTGTTTCTTATATTAA